AAGACTCCAGGTGGACAGAATTAAACTCACCATAATCCTCAGGATATGACACATTCTCTTTATCTGTCAATACGCGGCCTTCCTTTATGTTTAATTAATTAATTACTTAAAATTCTGTAATCAGCACCCGTGCTGTGAATAAGTCCCCCACGTGGGAGTTAGAGCCTTGACAATAACCATGTCTAACCTGTGGGTTCGCCTCCTCCCATCAAGGTAACTACCACCTGCATTCCACGCTCATGCCTTTTTACATAGCTTATGGCACCTCTGTGTATTCCTAAAAACTTCATGAAAAAGGTGTAACGTTGCAGCGTTGGGGGTTTGGTGTTGGTTTTTAACTGAACAGTATATCGCTGCATGTTATTCCGCTATCTTGACTACACTGTGGTTTATTCACTTGCTCTCCTGCTGATGGGCACCTGGGGGGCTGCCAGGTTTCTGTATGTGGGCCTTGTAGCTGTGACCATTCCTGTACATGTCCCTGGTGAATACCTGCAAGTGTCTGTCTCGGCTACTGAGGGCAATTGGATGAGCTGTAAGGCATGTGAATTGGGGAAATACTGCCAACGTGGTTTGCAAAGTGGCTGCAATGCATGAGGAATCCTGCAAATCCTCAACTTCTCCAGCACTGAGTATGGACGGGCTTCTAACATTTTTCCAATCATAGGAGTATAAAATTGCATCTCACTATGGCTTGACTTGTATTTCCCTGATCCCCAGTTATGTACACATCTCTTCAGATACTTACCTATCCCTCGTCTCAAAATGCTGTCTCAGGTCATGTGCCCACTTTTTAAATGGGGTTGTGTGTGCTTTTCTTCTTACACATAAAATATATCTGTATCTATCTACAGTTTCTATATATTCTTGATATTGATCATTAGACAGTATACACATTGCGAATATCTCTGGGTAAGTGGCTTGTATTTTCCTTTCATTAAGGTGTCTTCTGATCTAGTGAATTTATCTGAAAAACAGGAATGATAACACTTCTCTTCTCCATCCTCCCCACCCCCAGCTGGTCTCCTCTCTCCTCTCTTGCCCCTCTCATCCATCTTCCCCACCGTGGCCACTGTAATCTTTTTAAAAACGCACATCAGACCACATCACTCCCCTACTTAAAACCTATAAACGGTCCCCCTCCTCCCGTAAGGTAAAAATCAAACCCAGACCACTGCCTACGAAGCTTGCTAGGACCTGGTCCATGGAACTACCCTCCCCAAGTTCAACTCCAAAGACTCATCCCTCTGCTTTCTGCTTTCCCACCCACTGGCCTCTCTCCATCCCTCGCAGGGGCCAGACGGCTTCGCACCTTGGCGCTTTTGCACGTGCTGTTCCTTCTGTCTGGAATGTTCTTTCTCCCCTCTTCATCCAGCCCTCCGTGACCCCACCCCCAGTCTGGACCAGGTCTCCCCTGTCATTAGGTCTCATAGCCTCTGGAATGGCACTAAGTTGCTGAGTGTGTTTTGTCCTCCCCCCCGCCCTTTGCCGCCATAGAATGCAAGCTCCGTGCAGACTGGGACTGAACAACCTTGCTCTTCACCAAATCCCCAGTGCCTGGCCCAAAGCAGGGGTGACACAGCTCTCTGCTGAGTGCTTGAAGGGAGGCGTCGTGGGTCTACGGCACTAGGCTTGGTGCCCTGTGGGTTGGCGGCTCCATAACGTTAGTTGCCTTTCTTCCTCTCTCCCTCTGCCCCCGGAGAGGGAGGGTGTGGGTTCTATTGCCAGGAGCGCTTCTCACTCATCAGACCCTAGGTGCCTCTTGGCTCAGGTGTACCTCCTGCCAAGTGATCACTCTTCAGGCCATGTTTACACCAAGTCTGCTAATATCCAATAATCAAAGATGGAGAATATGGCAACTCTTGGAAAGCCCGCTGGAAATAAGGCTTCCTAGTCACCTGAACCAACTAGTCTGGAGTCATAGAATCACCAGCTCTTAGTTAGATGGAGCCCTGGTGGTGAACTGGCTCAACTCTTCCTGTCACAGCCATTTAATTTGTCCATAGCCACTGCTTTGGCTGGGACCCCAAGCTCGGGGCCAGGGTTCTCTCCAAAGCCCCAGGCTTTAAACTAAGGGGATACCGTCTGTTTTCTAAAATCAGTTGGACCACTTTAGGCTTTTGTGAACCCTTTTCCTATTATACTGAATGCGTTCTGTTAAAATAAAGGCATTAGTCTCCTTGTCAGACAGAATCTTCACACTGTGCTATTGTTGGTCTTATTCTCATTTTAGCCTTAGTTCATCACAGGCTCAAGCGAATGGCTTTAATTTCATCGCGGTAGCAAGCCCTCGGGAATCTCACCATGGTGGCCCGTGGCCTTTAAGGCCCCTTGACCCTTAGATCCCTGGTCTGGAGCCAACACAAGCTCCAGCTCAAACTTATTTGTGTCCAAATAAGACACCGAGAGGCTGGGGCGAGGGTTCCACCCCTTGGGGCCCTGCTACCGTCGGGTGAAAGCACAAAGAGTATTGGGCCTGGTCTGACAGCACTTAGGGATGTGATAATAACTTTCTGTCATGGAACCAAAGATTAGAGGCCGTGGGAACACTTCAGAATCCACACCTATGTGACAAGGCGGCGCTGATTTCCCATCTTCCTCCCTGACAGGGGATCGTGTAACTTCAACTCTGGAATGTGTTATGATACTTCTATTTCAATGGGGGTTTGCCTGATAGCCTGGAGTTCCTTTCATATGAAACAATGACGCCCTCCCAACTCAGGAGAAGCACTGCTTTCTCACCCATGGCCCCAGTTACCCCATGCACCCCGCAAGTACACAGTGAGTGCTTCCAGAGGCCGAAGACACACACAGGCCCAAGCCCAAGGCCGGGGCTGAAATATTGGGCCACGAGGGCACACAATAAAACATTCACTAGGTGGAATGGAGGACATCAAGTTCTGAGCCAGGCTGTCTAAATAAGTCTCCTTCAGAACAACCTGCAGAGGTACAATGGCTGAGCCAGCTAACTGCCTTCTGCAAGCCTCCAACACACACACACACACACACACACACACACACACACACACACGCACCTCTTTCCATTTCCCTAATATCAAAACTTCTCTATGAGTTTCTTCAGACCCATGATCAATATTCTAGAATGAATTCAAGGAGTAGGTCTATATTACTGAGAGGAGGGTAAATTCTAACACTCCTAAGAAAATGTCTCACAGATCATTTAAATGGCCCAAAGCAAAATCATTCATCAGGGACCCTTGGATATCCTTGTGTCCGTTCCACCAGCCTCTGTGTCTCAACATCCCAGGACAGGCCCCTTGATTCTGGGTTCTAGTCTGCTGGTCCTTCATGTGAACTTGGCTGCGCTAATGCAGCAAAGCTACCTACAGCCTGACCTGGGGAAACGTCCTTCTGGATTTGCTCAATCTACTGATTTAGCTGATTTTGCCAGAATCTTCCCAGCTCACTCTTGGTGGCTCCTGTTGGGGTCCCTCCTGTAGGAGGGTCTCCTCCCTTTGGTGGGTGCCCAGGGACCCCAGTCCAGCCTTCAGATCATATCCCTGCAACACGGGTAAGGATGCTACTGAGAGTTGGCTGGGGCGCTGCTTTCTAACGACGACGAGGGTGACGCTCTCATTGTGTGACGCTCGTGTTGAAACAGCTCAGCCTGACGTCCTGCCCTTCGCTGCAGTGTGCTGGCCTGCCTCGTGAGGAGGACGAGGTGGGCTGGGGACCTTTAGAGTGACCACCCAGAGGGTGACATGCCCAGGAAATTCACCAGCAAGTGCAGATGTCCCTGTTTCCCTAAGACTTTGTGAGCCTCTGTGATTTGACAAATGAACTTCTATAGCAACTTCATTTCACTAACACCTGACACCACACATTCAGAGCCTCTTTCTCTTTGTCATGAAATTTCGGCTTGGTTGCAGCTTGCTGAGTTCAACGTGCCTAAACATCCCTCTATAAAACCAAATAACAAGCCACCAAGTCCTTACATTCCTTAAAAATTTAATACCTACAAACAGCAAATACAGGGTGATGATTAGGTGCAGGACAGCTCATGACGCCAAAGGAGGACTCTTCACATGGTCACTTACTAACTACTTCGTGTGCATCTACTCTGTGCCAGCTCTGTCCCAGGCAGTAGGATATGACAATGACTAAGGTGACAAACATCTGTACTTGAAATAGTTAATGTCTAGTGGAGAGATGGGTGTTTAACAAATAAATCTCTCCAACGACTTCTGGGAGCGATGAGTGTGTAAAAGGTTAGACAGGGATGGAGGCAGTCTAAGTTAGATCACTCGAGGTCATGAGGTTTCCATCCTTCAAAATTCTGAAAGGCACACATCTCTCTTGGAGAAGCTGGAGGGCAGGTTTTATATCTGCTGAGTCTGAATCCTGCCCTGTCGCCAGCCACTTGGTGTCCTCAGGCACCTGGCTCAACTCCTCTGAGCCTCAGCTTCCCTGTGTGCAGAATAGGGGATAAGAGTCCCTCTCTCAAGGTCACTACTATGGACTTTATTGTGTCCCCCCCAGATTCATATGTTGAATGAATGTGATTATATTTGGAGATAGAACCTATAAGGAGGTAATTACAGTTCAATGGGGTCATACGGGTGGGGCCCTGATCCAACAGGATTAGTGTCCTTATAAGGAGAGACACCAAGGGGGACCTAAAATATGACATAAATGAACATATCTATGAAACAGCAACAGACTCATAGGCATAGAGAACAGACTTGTAGTTGCCAAGGGTGAGGGAGGGTGGGGAAGGGATGGACTGGGAGTTTGGGATTAGCAGATGCAAACTATTATATATAGAATGGATAAACAACAAGGTCCTACTGTATAGCACAGGGAACTATATTCAGTAGCCTGTGATAAACCATAGTGGAAAATAATATGAAAAAGTATGTATATATATGTAGAACTAAATCACTTTGCTGTACAGCAGAAATTAACACAACATTGTAAATCAACTATAATTCAATTTAAAAAAAAAAGAGAGAGACACCTAGAGCTCTCTCTCTCTCTCTTTCCCTCCCTGCTGTGTGAAGACATAGGGGGAAGGCAGTTGTTTACAAGCTGTGAAGAGAGCCCTCACCAGAAACCAAGCCTGCCAGCTCCTTGATCATGGCCTTCCAGCCTGGAGGAAAATACAGTTCTGTTGTTTAAACCACCAGGCCCATGGTATCTTGTTATGGTTGCCTGAGCTGACCAGGACAGTTGTTGAGAGGAACTGATAGGGTCCAGAATGGCCGCATCACATAAGCAGCCTCCTAGTTGTTCCTCTGAGTGAAGGATTTTCATGATGTCTTTCCTCCAAGGGGCTCTCTGGGGACTTTGAAAATATGTGATATTTTCAACAATCAAAATCCTTATATCTCTTAACTATGACAATTGTCCGGAACAGCAAGAAACAGAAAGGGAAGGGTGGTTAGAAAAGAGAAGGTTCTCAACAACCACACAACTACCACACAGGGAGGACATTGGTAAGGAGGTCCCAAGACTGTTCTATCTCCTGTGTTGAGATGTTTCCTTAAGCCTTTATTTTCTTCTGAGGGAGGCTTACTCCAAACAGCCCCAGCTCTGGCAGGCCTTGAGTAAGTAATGCCGTAATGCATTGTATTACCATGTATTTTACAAAAGTCTTCTGAGGTTCTGGCTCTCTGAACAGAGTCAGGCAGGCATTGTTGAAACTTGCAGAGTTGACATTCCAAAATACGGTCTCTCCAGAGGTGAGCAGTGAGGCTGGTGAGGAAAGGTAGCATGCACCATGAGCAATCTGGGCTCTGCTAATTAAGGAGGGCTGAGTCTGACTGATCCTTAAGGGGAAGATTATCAAGGGAAACCTTGGAACCGTGAGAAGTAACGCTGGTGACTCAGAAAGGGGCTCTCCTTTCACAGAGCATGACCTGTTTTGTTCACTAAGTCATCTTTCAGCCCAATTTTCTTCCAGCCAAGGGTGGAATTCAATAATCCTATGCCCTTCCCGAATTTTAGAGCTGGAAAGTGCATTCCTCAGCTTCCTACTTTGCAAAGTGGAAAATTTCCATGGAGCCCAACTGCTACATAGTGCGACTTTGGCCTTTGCTACTTCCCTGTGTGGTTCTCTTGTTGGTTGCCAGTGGCAAGCATACCTAAATTCAGGCCTCTGTGTTTCTGGATTGTAGAAGATTGCAGTTGTCACTTTAAGTGTCAAACTTAAAAGTCCTTTTTCTTTAGCCAACCAAGTGTTGTAATTAAACAGAGCATTTGTGAGTAAGAATTCAGTAAATCCGTTATTAATTCACTGACCTACCTCGCAGGTAAGCAAATGCTGCCAGGGAGTGGCTGACAATAGCTCCATCTTTCCTCAGAACTCTTGGTTTCCTTGGGTCAAAGTTTATACCTGTTTCGTAAAAAATGCAAGACCGATTAATCACAACTGTTCACCGCATGCGTTTTTTCCTAATCCAGGACTGCCATAATAAATAAAAAGTCATAGAGATCCAATAAGTGGGCCTTTGACAAAATTAGGGAAGACTAAGCCAGGAAGAGCATTTAGTAAGCAGTTTCTGAAAATATTAAGTGATAAAAGGGATTCAGAAATTCTAAAATGTGTTAGTTCCAACTTCACTCATCTACTCTACTGCAGAAGGGAACACATTTATTTTCCCATTTTAAGGCAATGGCATTCATCATGCCTCTGGGAGATTTAATAATGTCCCACTCAACCACAGAGCTGCTGTCTGCTCTGTTCACCACAGATAAGAAGGCCTGGAATTATGGAGGGAGGTTGTGTTGGGCTACTTTTTTGGAAATGAAGCAAAATACAGGGCGGATCTGGCTTTGGATGCCTGGTTAAGTTGCTGTGATGGAGCTTAGGGAGCCCCTGATGGGGTAGCCTAAGGGCCCTGGGGACCCCTGGGAATGTCAGACACGGCTCTCAGGCCTCCACTCCAGGGGGACCAGGATATTCATGGGATCTGGGTGGGAGCCCTCTTAGAAAGAGCAGAGGGGCTGGGAGAGGCTGGGAGAAGCAGAGCCTGGTGGAGAGCTGGAGGGCTGGAACTAGAAGAACATAGGATACTAACAATAGTTATCTCTAAGCTTTGAGACTAAGGGTGAGTTCTATTTCTTGGTGCTTTCCTGTGTGCTCCATAACAAGCACACTTTAGTTTTATTCTTAGGGGGAAAAATTTCATAAATGTAATCAAAGTAACACAAGACCAATTCTCAACCTGCAAAGTGCAATATCTTACATAGATTGTCTTGGGGGGGCGCTCTGTAATTTCATCAAGAGCCCCAAGGGTCTGAACTCCATTCTAGATTTGATAAGAAGACCAAAACGTTCATCCCCTTATTTACAAAAGTCCGGTGAAAACCTCAGGAAGAAGGGCACATGTGGATGGAGGCACACAGGTCCAGCCTGGGTGTGGCCCACCCAGGTTCCCTATGGCAGAGGTCCCCATCCCCGGGCCACAGACTGGTATCAGTCTGTGTCCTGTTAGGAACTGGACCGCACAGCAGGTGATGAGTAGAGGTGAGCAAGTGAAGCTTCATCTGTATTTACAGCGGCTCCCCATCGTTTGCATTACCGCCTGAGCTCCGCCTCCTGTCAGCATTATGGTGAGTTGTATACTTATTGTATTATATATTACAATGTAATAATAATAGAAATAAAGTGCACAATAAATGCAATGCGCTTGAACCATCCCGAAACCATCCCCCCCACCCCACAAGCCCCGGTCTGTGGAAAAATTGTCTTCCACGAAATTGTTCCCAGCTGCCAAAAAAAGGTTGGGGACCGCTGCCCTATGTGATCCTCTTTCCAACAAGCTCATCGGATAATCCAGGAACCCCAGGTTTATTTCTGAGCAGATCTTTTTTCAAGGTGATTTTTCTTTTAGGAAATAAGCGAGGGAATGGAAGGGGGATTTATCCTACTTATAATTTAAAACACAAAATGTTGGCCACCATTTGCAACCATCTGCCACAGCACTGCCATTCTCAGAGCTGGGAGCTCACACACCTTCCATCCTAACCAGTGTGCACCCACTTGCGGTCACATGGGGCTGTTCACCTTTACTTAAAGAGAAATGCTGCTAGTAAGCCATAAACCTTACCATAGTCACCGTCTTTCTGTTTCACAGAAGGTTTTAGATTAGCAACGGATGGATCGATCGCTGTGAGTATATTCTTGGGAACTAAAAACCAAAAAGAAATATTTTAAATACTTTGTACCCATAATACAACTTTAAAATGCAATGTAGATAAGACAAAAAGAGATCAATTTTCAAATCAGTACATAAATCACTCTGCTTGTCCAATACACTCACATACATACACCAACGGTACCCATGTGATCATCAAATGTCCCAGAAAGGTTAAACTTTAGGTCTATCTTGCAGTATTTAAAAAAAAACAACATAGAGAACAAATAAACAAGATGTGGCATATCTATCCAATTCAATGATATTTAGCAATAACAAGGAATGAAGTATAATCATTTTTTGGTATCCTTGGGGGATTGGTTCCAGGACCCACCTTGGATACCAAAATCCAGAGACACTGAAGTCCCTAATATACATAGCATATGATTTGCACGTAACCTATGCACATCCTCCTGTGTACTTTAAATCATCTCTAGATTCCTTACAATGCCTAATATCCTGTAAATGTTATGTAAATAGTTGTAAATACAGTGTAAATGCTATGTAAATAGTTGTCAGAGTGCAGGAAATTCAAGTTGTGCTTTTTACAACATTCTGGAATTTTTTTTCCGAATGTTTTCAGTCTGTGGTTGGTTGACTCCACAGATGTGCAACCCACAGATACAGAGGACCGACTGCACTGACACTTGCTACAACACGGATGAACTTCAAAAACATTATGCTCAGTGAAAGAAGCCAGACACAGAGGACCACATATGGTATGATTCCATTCATATGAAATCTCCAGAAAAAGGTAACTTTATAGAGACAGAAAGTAAATTTGTGGTTGCCGAGGACAGGGGTGGGGATGGGGACTGACCGCAAATGGGCGTGAGAGAACTCTGGGGATCTTGGAAATATTTTAAAATCGGAGTGTGGTGAAGGCTGCACAGCTCTGTAAATCTACCAGAAATCACTGGATCATTTTTACTTACAACGGATGAATTTTAAGGTACGTAAATCACACCTCAATAACACTGTTCACTCTGAACATCAACTTCCCTGAGACACAGTGAAACAAAATGAATGGGACCAACTCAAAACTCATCACCGACCTCTCCCAGCTGCGATTCCACTTTTTGTTCACTCTCTTTAATTCACTCCTTCCTTAATAACCCTGAAAGAATTCGAAGTCTCTGTGCTAGAATGCAGCTCTCAGTATTATAAGAAAGGATGACAGAAGGATGAAGAGAGAGGGCCGTGAAATAGACTCCCTTGGAAGATGGTTAAAGATTCTTCCAAACTGACCTTAAGAATAAACCATCCAGATCTCAAGACCCCCCAGGCAAAGCGGACAAGACGGTAGCAGGAGCTGAGCAGGGGGGCAAAGCAAGAATTCTGAAGAGCCAGTGCACTGCAGCCAGCTGGGAGGAGGGAGAGGAAACCAAATGTTTTCGCTGCAGAAAATTATTTTTGTTTGTTCTTCGGCTCAGCTGGTATCTGGGAGAAGTGGCAACAGGAAATAGAAGTGAAGCCAATACAAACCGGGCAAGTTCAACTGCACTGATTTTTTGGAAAAGAGCTGGTAAGCCATCTTCAGCAACAAGAAAACCTCATTTCCTTTCTCAAAGTGCTTAACAAAAGTCTTTTGGGGATGTCCCAGGATCAACAACCAGAGGACGTTCCTAAATTGTCAATTTTCCACGTGCAGGAGGCCCTGGCGCCTTTGTGACCGTCAGCAGGAAGGGTCACTTTCCTGGGCGGCACAGTGATGGGGACAGAGGCGGTGTAAGCTGTCCACCCCTCCCCCCGGGAACGCTCCTTGGCCGACCAAGGGGCAGGCACGCTGCTGATCCTGGCACACCGGCGGTGCCCCAGACAGCTGGGCTGGGCTGCCCCAGATGCTTTCTGATGAACAACCTCTCCATCACTTCTGCGCCCTGATTCCTCGGCAGGAGTTAAGTCCTCTCTGCAGGAGTGGTGTTTCTTCCCCACGTCTGCCTCTTGGCTTGTAGTCGAGATACAGCCGCAGGAGGGCTGGGCTCCCTACAAATGCCAGAGGCTTTCCAGCGCGAGGAGGAATTGCTTGGAGAGGAATGAGCTTTGCAGAATAAAACATTAAATCGCCTGTGTATGCCGTAGGCTCACGTCAGGGAACTTGCTGATTTACTGTGTGAAAATGGCTCTCGTACTGGGAGAATCTTTTAGGATCCTTAAGGTAACAACAGGTGTCAACACACCTGTCAGATTCTCACATCTCCTGTTTCAAACTGATTCTGAATGAGGACAGGGACTGCGTGTCATTTACTACCACCCCTAAACCCGTCCCTCTCCACTTGAGGTCCATTTGTGAAAGTGCCAGCAAACCCCTTTGCATGGAGCTCCCACCACGAGCTGAACCCTGTGCTCAGCGTTTAAATAGTGCCTCTTGTGCAGTCCTCTTAGTGACCCCATGAAGATGCGGGTCATTCCCATTCCCGCAGATGGGAAAACTGAGGCTCAGAGATGAGCCATTCACCTAGCAAAGGGCGAAGCTTCACCTCCTAGTCTCACTCACATAGGCCCTTGCTCTTTTCTGTGGCGCTGGGACGTTCAGCCTTTGGGAACTGGATACTGGGTTGTTTGAAAGGATTATAAAGATGGCAAAGCAATTCCCACTCAGATAGTCCCCCTCAAGCCTCTTAGGTGAAACCAGAGATGATGATTCTAATGGGCTCCAGTGGTTCGCTAAATTTAGGCAGGCTCCCTTCCTGATTTTTTTTTTTTCCTGAGTAAATCTGTGTCAAGCCTGGATCCGGGTAGACTTTAAGAAAGAAGCCTCCACAGGTTGAAATTAGAGCCCCACATAATTTTTCACATCAGAGACAAAAAAGATCTCTGCTTACACTCTCAATATGTACCCAGATTGCATGAGCACCTCTGAATCCTGTCATTCCCCCCATCCCGCCTGTCCCAAACCTGCAGCACCTATTCCTCCTGTCCCCACTTCTGGAATCTTCTATTCCTCCTGTCCCCAATCCTAGCACCTACAGAAGGGGGTACCCCAAATTCTGGTACCACCACCCCTCTTGTCCCCAGATCCTGGCATCCATTCCTTTTACACACAACCCTGGTACTGAAACAGAGCAGGACCTTACGGTCTTTCTCCCCTATGTCCTCTGCCTGCCTTTTGCCTGTGGAAAAACTTCAGCCAAAGCATAAGTTTAATCAGAGAAGTGAGAAAATGCAGAAAGAAAGGAAAACAGTCAAAGGAGACCAAATAATAATAGTTTAGTCATTAAGCATAGTCAAGGACCCTTCTCAAGGGCTATAGATGATATTCTGAGCTATATCCTGTGAGCTGTCTTATAGATACTGAAACCCCCCCCCCCCAGGCGGGAGAAGTTAACTACGTGTTGACCATACTGTAGCCATGACGTAAGGTGTCACAATTCCAAGAACTGGCCTCAAGGAAATGGGAACAAACCGACCCTGGAACTGAAGATTAACTGTACCTAAAACAATCAAGATGACGCTGGTCAGACCACCGATGACCAATTTCAAGATGACTGTCAGAGCTGACTGTGCTGTTTCTGCACGTAGCCCCTCCCGCAGCCTATAAAAGCTCTTGCCCACTGGATGTCAGTGGGGGGAGTCGGCCTTTGGACAGGCATCCCCTCCCTCCCACCCCGCGTAGGTTGCCGGCATCCAAAAGAAAGCACACTTCCCTTTCCACCAACCTGGCCTCTTTATTGGCTTTTAAGCAGCAAGCAGCTGGACCCCACTTTCGGTTACAGTACCACCATCCCTCCTGCCCCCAAATCCTGGCACCCATCTCCTGGGAGGAGCTGCAGGCCCCCGGCTGAGGTCCATGTGTTTCCTGTCCCTCTCAGGAACTGTCAGGGCGGGGATGCTGGCTGTCAGGGCGGGGATGCTGGCTGTGCCTCTGTCTTGGTGACCCTCAAGGACCAGTGGCTGTGGACCCAGGGAGAAGCCGTCCCCGTCGGGGTGAGGGGAGAGCAGGCCGTTCTCCAGGTCTGCCTCCTCCTAATAGGAGGCAAGTCTGAAACCTATCCTGTCCAAGAGATGTGGCTAATAATAAAACATGGATAAAAATTGAGAGCGAGGACCTCGTCTAGCCATGCATTAAAGAAGGGAGCTCCAGCGATGCATCTCCCAGCCCAATCAAAGACCGATTGCTCTGCTCTCCGAGGGGTTTGACATCAACCAGATGCACTGCCTACAGTTCAAAAGGCAAAAGGCCCACAGCCTGAATCATTCCCCCGAGGGTACACCAAGACGCTGAAATTCTCCAGGCAGCCTACGAGCAATGAGGGAGGGGAAGACAGGATTAAAGGAAGCTGTAAAATAGGGAGGAGTGTCCCTATCAAAATGCAAATTACTTATGTCCCCAGAGAACACCCTCCAAGGACTCCCTGCTGCCCTTAGGTACAAGCCAATCCTTAGTCACCCATCCCCCAAGGTCCCTCCGTCCTGCTCCTGTGCTCACTTCCCAGGCTTTGCCTGCCCGTCACCTTGCTGACTCCTTACACGCCTGGTCTCACTTGCCTCAGACGCCACTCCCCTGGGAAGCCCTCCTGGTCCCCCAAGTCACCAGGGCCTGGAATCACCACATTCCATCCTATAGCTCAAGAGGGCAGGGACCACATTGCTCACAGCACTGAGGCAACCTCTCCCCAACCCAAGGGGCGGGGTATTTCCTGGGTGGGCGCAGCAAGATTGCTGGGCAGAACAGCAAAGCCCGGTTGGACACTGCGGTCAGAAGCCAGGTAGTGGAACAGATGTCTATTGGGGTGGATCTTCCATGAGCCTCTTAGGTAAGAGCATCTTGATTTGAGTAGGGGGTTGGCTGGGCCCCTCTCTAGCAGCCATGTTTATAATCACATCACATGGTCTCTGGCCAAGGCAGATCAAAGGAGGGGGCTACTGGACCCCAGCCCAGACAATTAAATAGCTCTCTGTTAGAAATTTGGAATTAAGTTGCCAGATTACCAGTCTTCATGTTGTTCGAACATAAAAATCTAACAGAAGAATCACTCGGGCTGTGGGGATAGCTGTATGGCATCCAGCCCAGGGTCAGAGGGCTGTCTGCAGAGGTGGGGCGGGGAGAGAGAGAGAGACCGAGACAGAGACAGAGACAGAGAGAGAGAGAGAGAGAGAGACAGAGAGAGGGAGGGGGAGAGAGAGAGAGACAGAGAGAGAGACAGAGAGAGAGGGAGGGAGGAGAGAGACAGACAGACAGAGAGAGAGAGACAGCGAGAGAGAGGGAGAGAGGGAGAGAGAGAGAGACAGAGATAGAGACAGAGAGACAGAGAGAGAGGGAGGGAGAGAGAGACAGAGAGAGAGGGAGGGAGGAGAGAGAGAGAGACAGAGAGAGAGAGAGAGACAGAGAGAGAGAGAGGGAGAGAGGGAGGGAGAGAGAGAGAGAGGGAGAGGGAGAGAGGTGAGGGACGGCTGCCATCGCCATGAAGTCTCCAGCTGCGGCCCACCCTGAGGCCTTGCTTTCCGGCCCTGGTTTCTGGAGACAGCCTTCTAGCCTCAGGGTACCTCCCCAACCTCAACCCCCTTTCGGCTTAAACCAGCTCAACTTGGTTTCTTCATTCATATCCAGAGAGTCCCAAGTAAGACAGATTCTCTTAGAAATTAATTCCCGACATCCTCTGTTTTTGTATCAACTCCCACATCAGTAGAACTCATGTTTTTAAAATGTAAAACCTTTCATGCCCATTTGGTAATCTACAAAATATGCAGACATTGCAAATTATGTTTTAATGATTCAGGTTTCACAGTGAAGGGCCATCAGTCGGGGGCAGAAATAATTTTAAAATGTCAACCACTTAAAAAAGAAAAAAAAAACATCAACCACTCAGAAGGTGGTTAGAAGTTGCCTTAGAAGGTGTCTGCTTGGACAGTCGGGGCTGCACTGGGAACATTAAGTGACCTCAGGCTGAGGGTCACCACCTCTCTTTGGGATAACTCCTGGGGAACCACGCCGATGACAGGGGGCCACTGTCCATGGCCCCACGTCCGAAACCAAGATGCAAAGCCCCCTCTCTGACCTCGGCTTCCCACCCTCAAGCGGACTCACTTGGATGCCTCCCTCTGCCATCCTTCGACCTCGTCCAGACCCTTCCCCGTTGCCCAGTGAGGCTGGAGCAGCCCTCTGCTCCGTGCCGGCCCTCAAGCAGCTGGCCCTGAGGGAGGGACCCACCACCGGGCAGACCAGGGTCCCCCAGAACGCTGACCGCTAACCCCCTGGGCTCTCAACACACGCAGCACCGTCACCACCGCCCTTTCTGAAGTCAGCCTGTCCCCACGGCCCTTACTTCAGACCTTCTCCCATCTCCTCAAACCCCCTCTCCTCCAGCAAGTCCTCACAGCGGACCACCTCAGCCCGCACTTATCTTGAGAAGGTTGGGAAGACAGGGGCCATGCGGTTGGAACCCCAAGCCCTCCCTCCATCCATTCCCAGAGCCTCTGCCCCACCCCGTTGGGACAAGGGACAAATCTTTCCCGCCCTTGTCACCTTCTCTGGACCCCAATCTTGCCCAAATAGGCCAGGTCTCTCCAGCATCTCGAATGTCTTCCTACTTTCCCAAACCCCTCAAATCCACGCAGTTTTGACCATGTCCTCTAGCGCCATTCAGGTCCGAGTCATTGCCTGCTGCTGTCTGACTGATCTCTGTTTCCATCCCGCTCTAGCCCCCTCCACCCTATAGCCGGAGTGGTCCTCTAAGGGTCTAATCATCACCAAGTGACTCCCTTACTTAAAACTCTCCAGTGGCACCTCCTCCCAGGACCCTGTGGGATCTGGTCCTGGCCCCTCCCGTGCCACCTCATCCACCTTCCACCTCACCCGCTGCCCTCGTCTCCCCCACTCAGCACCTGCCAGCTCACACCCGCCCACCCCTCAGAGGACAGGGGCAAATTCGCCCCAGAGGAAAGTTCTCTTTGGAAAACTTCTCCGTTCCCCCACCTCCCACCAGCTAAAAGGGCCCCTCCACTGTTATCCTTCCACATGGCATCCTGTCCTTTTCAGAAGCATCATTTATCACAGTGGGTAACGACACATTTCTCTGGTTGTTTGTTTAATGCCCATCTCTCTCCCCCAGCTGATAATTCCATGAGGACACGGACAACGTCTTCTTTTCTTTTTTAACTACAACACGCCCACAGCGTGCTGAACGAGTGAATGAGGGAGAGGAAGCTTGGACTGGAACACGTGACCCCTAGGCTCTGAAAGTCCACCTTCTCTTCGCGAAGAGCAGCCTCAGCCTGGGAACTGCTCTGGCCTCGCCTGTGAAGGCGCACCAGGAAATCCACCTTATTTGCAGGTTAATGTCCTGCCCTTCCCTCAACGCTCAGCTGGAGAGGCCTGGAGTTACTAGAACTTCAGAGTGATCTGTCTGGTATCTTGGGGAAACTCAGCCAGAATGGGCTCCATGCTACCCAGAGCTGCTTTATGTGGGAGCCAGAATATAGACTGGAGAGCAAATAAAACCGTGCTTCCTGGAATGTGAGTGTGGGCGCTGTTACTTTGGGAATGCAATCCTGTAGTCGCTGCGCTGTGACTTCTACAGCTTTGATATTGCAGAGGACGACGGTTTGAGCTCGGGACAGAAAAGGCTGGGGATGTAACGAAATATTATTGGGCCATAAAAAGGAATGAAGTACTGACACGTACTCCAAAGAGATGAACCTTGAAAACATATACTAGGTGAAGAAATCAGTCACAAAGAACCACGTATTGTCCGATTCCATTTATATGAAATGTCCAGAAGAGGCAAATCAGTAAAGACAGAGAGCGGTGGTTGCTTAGGGTGGGACTGGAGGGTGAGGGGTGGGTCGGGAAGTGACGGCTGAAGGGTCCAGGGTTTCTTTGGGGGAGTGATGAGAATGTTCTTAAATGAATTATGGTGGGAGTCGTACAATTCTGTGACTCTACTAAGATCACTGATTTGTATGATTAATGGGTGAACTGTATAGTTTGTGATTTATAGCTCAATAAAGCTGTTACCAAAAAAAAAAAAAAAAGAAAGAAAGAAAGGCTAGGGGTATCTGGCAGGGGGAAAGGGGTTTCCATGAGCAAAAATATTGGGTTCTTCAGTTATGACGTTCTTTGCTTTCCCTTTGCTTCTATACTTATTTCAAAACAAAAACAAAAAACACCTCTAAAAACCAGTTCACATGTCAGGATTACAAACCAGAAATCCACGGCACCCTCTGAGGGTAATTAACACCTGATTTTTAAAGGCAGCTTTATAAAATTAGAATCGAATGAATGAGCGATTTCATTTTATTATTTGAAGACACTAGGAAAACAAAGTGATGCTGTCATGTAACATATTTAATGGCTGTGGGGTAAGCACTTGATCTGTTGGTTTAACCCCGGAGGTACGTCGATAAAACGGCTGTCGGCAGCACAGAGAATTAGTCATTTTACAGCCTAAAGGCTGGGATGGAAGATTAACTAGGAGTCCAGCAATACTGAGTGAACTTGTGTGACGTACCCATAAATTTCAGAGCCTCCTAAGAACCCAGCTTAAAATCATTCTTCTCAGTGACATCCATTTTATCCCATTTGCTTGTTCTTTTCCTGCCCACCCCGCTTGCTGCCAATCTGATTGCTAAAAGCACTTTTAAAACAAATGTGGGCCAGAGACAATTCGATCGCTTATCTGAGGCGAATGTCATAAACAAGGCTAAGGGATAGGAGAAAAGGCTCGCCGATATCTGGGATGACAGCACAGTTTCAGGGTAGAGTGAAAGCAATGGTTTGTTGCTGGAAAACTCCTTCTGTTCACATGCTCACCACCTCCCCAAGAGGCAGGGTCTCCAAGCAGCTTGTGGAGGGTGGGTTCTTACCACACGCGTAGGTGACGGTGAGGTATTTCTTCACTCCTGGAAGACAGGGGCTTCCGAAATGGTGATTGTTGACAAGGATTTTGCATCTCTGCTTCCCATAACACCTCCTGGATAATACTTGCAAAGCCGAGTAAGACAAGCAATCTGAGAGGCAAAAAACATCAAGAACTTCATGTTAGCTGGATTCCATGTATGGCCACCATGTAACTTCTGTTATTTTCTGTAAATAAGGATACTGAGCTGGATCTCACATCTCACGGAGATTGTTTCTCTGATTATTTTCTGTCTCATCAAAGCACCCCGCATGGGCTAAGTGTCAATACTACACAGGCAGGCCTGGAAGGGCTTACTTTAATCAGACTTCTCTAACGCTCTGCTGTCACTGGTCGGAAATCCTTATGTATTTTTGAACAAGGGGCCCTGTATTTGCATCTTGCACTGGGCACTGCCCCTGTCTCCCCAGTCAGGTAACGGGCCTCACATACAGAAGAGGCAAAACACACGCAGAACACTGAATAAAGATTCGTATTTCTTTTATGAGCGTTATCTCTCTGAAATATTTTAGTTATTGGTTAATTTTGAGAATCCTTCTCCCTGTGTGAGCATAAGCTCCATGAGGACGGGGACTATTTCTATTGTGTTCCTTATCTAATTCCCACAGCCTGGTCCACTGTGGAAATCCAATAATAACGAATGAATGAATGAACAAAAGGATAGATGGATGAATAAACATAAGGACATGGTTTTCAGCACCCTGGCACGATGCCATCACAATTAGTAAATATTCATTGAACACGTATGGAGGACAAGGCACTGGGCTAGGTACCGTCTGAAAAACAAGTCAGAAGAAGCCTGCCTTGCATTCGCAGGATGTCGGATGGGGCTGGAGAGACAAAACCCACATTAACCTGACGGCTAATAACGTGAAACATGGAGTGAATGTCAGCAGTGATTGGTTCAGACAAGAGGTGATGGGGCTGGAGGCAGGACAGGTTGCTGGGGACCGGAGTGGTCAAGACAGGCTTTATGGAGCAGAGGGGCTTGGTCATGGCAGAGGCAGCATGAATTGGACAGAGGAAGGCAAGAAACACCAAGGCAAGTGGGCCAGAAGCACTTCGTGGGATTCTAGGGGCTCAGCGTGAGCTGGAATAGCAGGCATCGGCAAGGAGGATGCAGTAGATGAGCCGGAAAAGCAAAATGGAGCACCAAGCTACCTCTGAACGCTGAGCTAAAGATTTTGAACTTTATTCTGCAAGCAACAGGGAGCCTAAAAAATGCCTTGATGCTACTTCCTTTGGGGACAGTGTATGGGATGCCCTGGGAGAGAAAAGGAACCAAAGGCAGGGAGACTAGTTTGGAAGCAATTTTAATAATACACGTTGGGAGAAGTTAAGAGCTTGAAGAGAAGGAATGGAGAAGAAGAGAATTCTAGACACCGTGCAAAGTTCAGCTCACTATAACAGCTAACATTCTGCCAGGCTCTGCTCTCAGCACTTGTATGTGAACTGATACAATGTTTCAACAACTCCATAAGATAGGTTGTTTATTATAATATCTTATATTTTAGAGATTTACAATCTGTAATAGGTCAGCTAATATCTAATAGGTTGTTTATATTACATATATGTTTATATATAGAGAGAGAGACAGAGAGAGAGTGTGTGGGTGGGTGTATATATATATATAAAATATCAATTTTGTGAATGGGGACACAGATGTGTGACAGGTTACGGAACCTCATACAGCTAAAGAATGAGGGCAGCAGGGTCTGGACGTGAACACCGGGGAAAGGCCCCCAAGTCTGCAGGTTTAACCTTTTAACCTCTGAGCTCCACTCTTCAGGTCTCCAATGCGGGGCGGGGTGAGGGCCCCACTGAGGATGAGTCAGACCTTCAGCCTGGGGACAGAGGGGATGGCGGTGCCATTGCCGTGGACAGGGGAGATCAGTAGCAGTAGGCAGTTTGGAGGACGAGAAGGTAAATTCATTAAAATAAAACAAAATAAAAAACTATTCAGCCTTTCAAAGGGGAAGGACCATTCAGGAAAGTTTTCAGATCCTGAGATGCCCGTGGGATGTGCATGCCCGCAGAGCCCGAGGGCTGATGCTATGAAGCTGGTCTCAGGGAGAGCACAGGGGCCCCCAGTCACAGGACTTTTCTTTTCTTGGCTACACCACGTAGCCTGCGGGATCTTAGTTCCCCGACCAGGGACTGAACCCGGGCCGTGGCAGTGAAAGCGTGGAGTCCTAACCACTGGAGAGCCAGGGAAGTCCCCTCACAGGACTTTTCTTGTGCTGTCTGTTCATGTCTTACAGACGACAAACTCCTCTACCCTGTAAAAACAAAACCCCTGCAGTCCAATCCCGGAACCTGTCTCCAGCCTTATCGCCTTCCTTCACAGTCAGGATTCTGCAAAGGTCCTCCATGCCGGCCACCTCCGCTGTGTCCCCCTCCACCCACGTCCCAGCCATTCCTCAATGTGTCTCTGCCCTCCACACACCAGGGACAAGGGTCCCTTCCCTCAGATCACAGGGACCTACTACTGTCCTAGCAGAGAGATGTGGCTGGCCCTAATCCTCGCCCATCTCCGGAATTCTGGGTGCCTGAACACTCTTGCTGGAGGGTTCCTCCCTGACCTTGGCTGCCTGGTGCCCTTCTCCCCCATCTGTCTGACTGCTCCATCCCAGAGCCCCCTGCAGGCCTGCTCGCCCCACAGGAGGTCCTTCCTCAGCCTGGGCTCTCTTCTTGCACCTGCACACGCCATCTGGGCCCACGTCCACCTGGACCATCGGAAAACTGAGGACCCGACCGCTTCCAGCTCCCATAATGGATCGCCTTCACTGTTCCCTCAGGAACCTCTCACTCCTCACTCAACATTCATCATGTTCCCCTCCCCCACCAACGCCCAAGCGAAGCAGCCTGAGCTTGCTCTTCCCCCACATGCTGCTCTCAGTCACGCTGCGACATCCTCTAGGCAGCCCGGCCAGAAGCCCCGGCTCCCTCCTCCGAGGTCTGATGCTCGGTCCTAGAATCATCCCTCCTCAGTTCCCCGCTGCAGCTTCAGCTTCAACCCTGTCACTTTTGCAGGAAATTTTTTTTTTTTTTTTCCGGTACGCGGTTCTCTCACTGTTGTGGCCTCTCCCGTTGCGGAGCACAGGCTCCGGACGCGCAGGCTCAGCGGCCATGGCTCACGGGCCCAGCCGCTCCGCGGCACGTGGGATCCTCCCGGACCGGGGCACGAACCCGTGTCCCCTGCATCGGCAGGCGGACTCTCAACCACTGCGCCACCAGGGAAGCCCTCCAACTCCATCTCTTATGTTAACTAGAGATCCGTGAAAGAGTCCAGTTGAAAGGAAGGATCTGTTTGGAAATTCCCTGGAGGTCCAGTGGTTAGGACTCTGCACTTTCACTGTTGAGGGCGTGGGTTCAATCCCTGATTGGGGAACTAGGGTCCCATAAGCAGCACGGTTTGGCTAAGCCAAAAAAAAGGAAGAAAAAAAAAGAAAGGAAGGATCTGTGGTAAACACCACAAAGCTGGAAAGACAATGATCTTGAGGAAAGGACAATTAAATTAAATAAATACACACGCACACACATATATGCACACACACATATATAAAATATATAGATTATATATTTATGTAATATGTGTATATTATATATTCACACATATAAAAATATATGGACCCTATAAACATATATGTATATACGTATGTGTGTATGTGTGAATATATATGTATATATTTTTGTGATATATCTAAATGTATGTAATATGTATAGCTCAACAAATGGTGAGGAACATTATTACAAAAGCACTTGATCTGAATATATTCATGAAGGTTCTGATTTATTTTGCTAAGTCCAATTCCATGATGCCTGATCCCTGGAGTGTTGGGCTCACAGCAGGCACCCAACAATGATATATTTAATGAATGAATTAGTGGACTGGCATGGACACCAGGGAATGCAAACATCCCATATATCTGGCTTTAGGATGTGTTTGCTATGTGTGTGTGGGGAGGGGCGGGGTGTGATCCGTGAGTTCAAATCTGTGCTGAGAAGAGCTGCCTGGAGGGGCTTCAGGAAGCTGTCAGCCTCCTGTTGGTCGCTGGGTCAGTTCTCTGCAACTCGCTCTGGCTTGGAATAGATCCATCTTTTTTCTGACTGCTTCTGAATACTCCAGTCTAAAGGAGGCATCTTGCTGGACCTAATTTGGTGCGTTCTTATGAATGAAAGAAAAGTAAACAGAGCAAGTCAAGCAGCCAATGAAGACGGAATGAAATGTTTTAAGTGCCTGAGCATCAAGGACGTCTTTGTGAAGAGTAAAGAATAGTAACGTGAGCAGTGGGTATCATCAGGGTTCCGGCAGGCCACCCAGCGCTCAAATCGCACAACGTAAAGCAAGCTTGATAAAGAGACTTTACAAAGGTGTGGATGGGATGTGAACACCTCGAAGGATGGTGCAGGACCCCGGGGCAAGGAACAGCAGTGAGATGCTACCACCCCAAGCCTAAGGGGCAAGGGCAATGGCTTCCAGAGCACAAAGGGGGATGCCCCATGGAGAGGGCTGCTGCACGGAGCTGGGGTCTGCGGTGGGCAGTCGTGCTGCTTACGGTCCGTTGTGTTGCGTTAGGTTAGCTGCTTTGGTGCCTGGATCTCTCATTGGATGAGAGCTCCTGGAGGGCATGGGAGTTCCTCTGCTGTTTGCCCAGCACCTGGTATCTGCTCAACTCACTGAGACTCTGTGTCCCTCCTGCGTAGCACGAGGAACATCTTTTTCACTGCCTCTATGTGAGGTCTGTATGAAGCAACTGCGGAAGTCAAAGCCCACGTAAACGTGAGCTGTTCTCACCAGCTATCTCTAAGGTCGAATGGAATACCTCCTATGGTTAAGAGTCCAGAAAGTGAAAACAAGCATATGGCGCAATCAGACCTAAATACTAAAGTTTAACCTGCAAATAAGCAAAAATTTAAAAACACTGTAAGGAGAATCACCAAGATGGTAACAGGGGATATTTCTGGCTGATGGGAAAGTTTTTTTTTTTTTCCCCTATCGATTTTAAGATACTTTCCAAGTTTCTGAGTTTACATTGCTTTGAAATGAAAGCGTACAAAATGAACTTTCTTAAAAAGAAAAATAAAATT